CTTGTAGAGAAAGGCAATATTAGATCCAGACGCTTTCTCTGACGATTAACATGGAAAAGGCTTAAGTTATGACAACGGCAAGAAGTCACATATGAGCTCCAGTTGAGATATAAGGGCTTGAGCTGCACCACACATATACTTCCCATTATCATGATTCGATCTTGAACAAATTTTGTCAGTTCAAAATGGAGGCTCATCAGCATTCTACAACTGCCTATGAACACGGGAAATATGCATGACATAACTCATTTAAATGCGGTGCAGTCGCAGCATGAGAAGCCTCACCAAGCTAAGTCGATGCAAATCTATAATTTTGTGAATTCCCCGGTAAGGATGCAAAAATTGGATAATTAAAGGGTAGAAATCAAATCTACTGAGACCCGTTTGAAATGGAGTGCTACAAACGGCTGTTATGAATCTCCTGAAAGAACCTTAAAAATAATCAGTCTTAAAACGGTATGTCGCAATCCTTATGCTTCACATACTAAAGCCAAAACTATAGTATATTCATCACGTCATGATAAAGAATAGCGGCTGCCAAGAGGAAATACTGTTTTGACGCCTAATTCCAGAGACTAACTAAAAGATCAAGTTAGTGAACTTCGTATGAAAGTGAAGTTTACTATTCATACAGAATCGTTAAGAAGTCTTTCTTCTCAGCATGAATAAAATTAGGATAAGCATGTAGTGGCTTAATTCTAGTGGCAGTTAGGCCAGATGAACAAAGCTATAAATAAAATTTCTATGGTGTGCAGTGGCCTATCGAGCATTATTCTTGTAACTATCATTTGAATTTATCTATTTGTGAGTTTCTCATGTAAACTGGCATTCCATCAGTTTTGAAAGTACCGGTATCGGTTTCTTATTCAAAATTTAGTAGAATATTTTGTCAGTTGTTGGCATTGAAAACTGAAAAATGGCTTAAAACAGTTTGTGTTGACAGTGCCAAAGAATAGTTTATCGATGATACCGACATTTTGGGCTGCATTTCTTGAGCATCGTCGTTTCAAGGTAAACGAGATTGTAACTTTTGGTTTCTGTAGCTGGTAATTTGTTTATGGCCAAGACGCATATCTGTTTAACCGTTTTAAACTGCTTTTTTAATTTAATGGATAACTTTCATCAGTAAGCTCGGCTATGTAGATTCTTTTTTATTTGAACGATAGTAAAATGCCGCATTTGCAGTAAACATCAAAAGCGACTGAAGGCTAAGGAAGCTAAGCAGAAGTGGGACGACCGGCACTGGTTGCAGAAATCTCTCCAGGAGATGACCGACAGAGATTGGCGTATCTTCCGCGAGGACTATAATATCAGTATCAAAGGAGGTAACGTTCCAAAGCCGATGCGCACATGGGATGAGATCAATTTACCGACAGAAATTATGGAAATCATTATTAAAGTTGGATATAAGGTATCTACCCAATTTTTTGCGTTTTAATGTCAGATATTTTGATAGCATTTTTGGCAGCTGTAGTTATATATGATCAACTGCGACAATGCCAACAAGTTTCCGCACATAGTTCGTTATGTCATTGATGTAGTTAGTCATATATTGTCATTTTTTATATATGACTATGCTGACAACATAAGTCACTGTATATGGTTATTTATATAATTATATTTAGACAGAATATTACTATTTTTGCAAATAAAATTACACAAGCTATAAAACGCTTGAAAAGTGGAAAAACTGTTGTGAATAATGAAATCCGCCCTGAAATGCCCAAGACATTAAGCGAACAAGGCACGTGCTGTCTTGCATGTGTCTGTCAAACTGCAATGGCCATGGGCAAGACACAAGCGGACTTGAGAAAGGGGGTTGTAGTACCCCTGTTCAAGAAGGGAGACCACAGGGAGTGCTCCAGTTATTGGGACATTACGTTATTGAGCCTTTCAGGAAAAGCCTTCGCAAAGGTGGTAGAAAGGAGGTGCCGCGGAATAACTGACTTTGATACAAGAAGAGCAGTGTGGCTTCCGGCCCCGTCGAATTACCTCTGACCATATATGCGCCCTACGCCAGAATGTTGAGAAATCGTAGGATGTCGCCCATCTAATGTGCTTGTGCTTTGTTGACCTTCAGATTGACCTTCACCGGATCCCACGCAATAGTCTGTGGTCATGCCTGCGAAAATGGGGGATCAGTGGCGAGTTGCTACGAGCAATTCAGTCACTGTATTCTGATATAGGTACTGCGTCAGAGTAAACGGCGTTAGGTCAAAACCTTTTAGCGTTGACACTGGTCTATGTCAAGACGCTGACTGTATCGGTGTAGGCGGTGTAGAGACGTGAAGGTGGCTGTTTGCAGACAATCATGTTTTATTATCATCTTCTGAAACTGATCTACAAACGCTCTCTGGAAGGGTTCGCAGCCGAGTGCGACGTGGTCGTGTGAACGCGTCTAAAACGAAAAGCCTAGTGCTTTCTCGTTCTGCTGCCCGTTTGTTCTTTTCAGATAAATGGAAAGACAGTGAAACAGCACGAGTTGTTCAATTACTTCGGGGTGGTGTT